ATCATAATATTTGATATTGCCTTCTTTCCTGTTTCAACCTATGGAAAGATTTACATTTTCACTTTCGTCTCCACACAACACCTCACAATACATCCCAGTTGATTTGCACAACTGAACCAGGGAATAAAAAAAAGTCGGGGACCATTCCCTACTCTACTCCTGCATAAGCCAAGCTCTCCTGGAAGGGGTAGCAAGTGCTTTTTTTTTTTTTTTACTAGGGATGCACCGATACTAGTACTCGTACTTGCTCAAATGCTCCGATACTCACCCGGATACTGGAACTTACGGTCAGAGGGACATTCTCTCTGACCGGCAGTGCCGAGAGGGAGCCAGCTTCCCGGCCAATCAGGAAGCTGGGCAGCGGGTCATAACCCACCTCCCGGCTTCCTCATTGGCTAGAAAGCCGGCTTCACTTGTTGCTAGGCAGCCTGGCTGGTCAGGAAGCCAGGCTGCCTCGCAGTATTCTTTCGATAGAACAGTGGCTTCTCAGGCAATCAGGTAGCCGGGCAGCGGGTCATGACCTGCCACCCGGTTTCCCAATAATCTGTGCCCACGGTACCTTGAGAGCCAGTATCGATATAGGCGAGTACCGAAAGAAAAAAAAAATCTGTATTGGTGCATCCCTATTTTTTACAGTAAGGATAATTCCACTGGCCCGACCAATCTGCCTCCTCTTCCTCCTCTCACCTGAATGAACGCTGCTTCCCCTCCGTGGATCCCCAAGTACGGTCCGTACACTGTATCGCAGCCCTGCACTACGTATTTCAAATTACCCTTGCAAATGGAGAGCATTCACTGGTCAGCAAGGTCATCTGACCATGTTGAGCAATGAGAAGTGCTTCTTGCTAAGAAGTACTTCTCATTGGTCAGCACGGTCACAAGTGCTTCTCATTGGTCAGGTGATCGCGCTGACTAATGAGTGCTTTTTTTTGTAATACATAGTGCAGGGCTGCCATGCTGTGTATGGGGGACCGAGGCTACACCGGCAGCTGAGGAAGGAAAGCAGCAATCATTCAACGCTAAGAGTAGCAGGAGGGGGGAGAGGAAGCAGACTGGTAGGGGCAATTCCATTTTACCAAAGTCGCCGGGGAAAGTGGAATAAACCTTTAACTCTGAAATGAAGGAACTAATTTGTTTTAGTTACACAATACAAAACAGAAGTCAAACTGATCCCTTTGGTAGATTGATAAGGCGTACTCTGTCACTGCCCTTCTCTCTGCATTCATACATTCTCCCGATGAAGTCATTTAATATCGGAAACCAACATTTCATCTTTTATATGAAAGAGCCGAGGGATTTCTCATTCTGTGTCCCGGAACTTACCTGCTGTGCTGACAGAACGCTGGAGAATTCGCTGTTCATGGCGTAAGGAAGTGCAGTCTGTGCTCGGGATCCATAGGTGGTCTGAAACCTCTTCTTAACTTCATTTAAGAAATTAAACGCTCTGGAACGTTCAAAGTCCTGAAATATCACATGGACAAAGTCAGAAACAAAACACGTCGGAGTGTCTGAAAAGTGTCACTCCACACACCCTACAAAAAAAATAAAAATCAGCCTTTCCACATTTCTAGCAGTGCCGTCATACTACAGCTCTCTAATCTCTACGTGTACACCATGAACTGCTGAGCATTTATTTATAAACTTTTAATTTTTTTTATATTTAATTTGTTTTTTATTAAATATTTTTCTTTTTTACTTTACTTTTAGGGGCTTCGGGGAAATATTAGGGGTCTAAACTGATATTTCCCTTTTAAAATAGAAAAAAAAGAGATTGAGAACACAAAGTCCTCTCTTTTTCTGTGTCCCCTGTTATCAATGAACAGGAATCCTCTATGCTGAGTGTTCCTGTTCATTGATAACTTGAGAACAGAGTATGTTTACTATAACTACAATTATGAATAAACAGGAGGTGATGTAGCTCACTTCCCATTCATAATTGAGGATATAGTAACCATACCATGTCTGCTATTATGTACAATACACTCAGCAATCACTGATCGCTGAGTGTGTGTACCTGGCTCTCCTTTCTGACACACGCTGTCACAGGAGGCTGAGCAAGCGTTGTAGGGAAGAGTGCTCAGCCTCCTGTGACATCGCTGTCTCCGCCCCCACACCGCTCTGCCGCACTGTGATAGGCGGCCAAGCAGTGTGGGAGGAGAGACAACGGGCGCTCACAGCGCTCTCCTCCCGCAGAGCTCGGCCGGCTGTCACTGTCTCTCCTCCCAGCTGGGACACAGAGCAGCGCCCAGCGGGGAGGAGAGAAACCTGGGATGTGCCGATGTATCGGCAGGATAATGGCACTTTCGGCATCATGCCAAAAGTGCCATTTTCGGCCGATATATCGGTGCATCCCTCATTTATACACAACATATAAATAACATGACTGTAAATGAAAAAGAAGTCCATTCATCCAACCTGCATTAGAAAAAAGTGTGCATTGTAAAACCTGGACTGAATGTTGTCTTATATGGTATTCATTATATACACAGGTCCTTTACCCAAGTCTACATAAAAGACAATTGCTGCCAAAGCATTAAAGGGACGCTCTAAGGACTAAATTACCTATTCCTGACCCCTTATGGAAAATGCCCACTGCTAACTCTGTGGCCATAAACTGCTCAATTCCACCATCTACACTAAGCAGCTTGGATGGAGGAATCCGGGGCTACTGTATTCTGACACCCGCCGCTGTCAGAATACCTTAGCAGTGGCTGCAGCCGATTGACAAAAGTCAATTGGGGGAAAAAAACAAATCAAGTTTCATGGATCGGGAGAAAGGGCTCCCAAGGGGGTCCCACACTGGGTGAATTTCGGTCGAGTCAGTATGACTTGGCCAAAATGTAACCAGCGTATTGCCAGCTTAAGTTGCCTACTCAGAGTGCAGATGGCAAAGACGAAACTCCCAATCAGCATACTCCCCCCGAGTCAGAGGCTCAACAAGCAGTAAAGCCAGAGGATCAGCACAATGGCCTGATAACTAGGATTCGTTACTCTGATTCCAGTCCAGTGGTGGACCAATCGTAGGAATCAGACAGCCAATGCATGTAAAAATATAACAACCACCACTCTATGAAAACACATAGCCCATAGTTGCTCTAAGAATGGATGGACCATCTACACCAGGCGTGGGCAACTCTGGCCCTTTGGCTGTTGTAGAACTACAAGTCCCATGATGCATTGTAAGACTGACAGTTACATGCATGACTCCCAGAGGCATGCTGGGATTTGTAGTTAAAGCAGAGGGTCTGATCTATGAACTTATAATTGGTCATTCATGGACCTATTCAATACAGTAGTATATTGTCATTGTACATAATGGCTATGAACAGAACGTATAACTAACTCACATCGTCTGTGATGCACAGGTAAATGATTCGGTCCTGACAGATGTAATGGAACAAGTAACTGTGACGGGAGAAGAGGAAAAGACCGTTACTAAAGCATCATCATAGATTTTTACATACAGAATATAAAGAGACAGGTAAGGATATAGTCATGAAACACACATAAAAGGCATCAATATAAATACATGCAAATATAAGCTGTTACCTCTGCCATTTCCCCGTGTACTTTGAGAGATGTCACTGCAGGCCTAAACCAGTGTAAACAATGCCTTGTCTGCATTCAGCCTCTGTAGTTAGCACTGTTCACCCATGCCAGTGCCAGAAGCCATGAATAATGACTTCTATATACTGCACTGCACTCATGAAACCACTGGATAAACAGATCACAAACCGTTTGAGGAAATCAACCCCTGCATACAATTTAGCCCTGGCCATCCTTCTTCCCGGGATCCACTGTGCAATAAGCAGAAAGGGGTCATGGTCACTATCTAGCGTTGCAGAGGTGTGCGAATCACAAAACTTGCTGAACAGAATTCACAGATAGCTTTCATAGGTGTATATTTGGCAGATTAGGTTGCAAGACATCTTGAGGCGTGTTCTTTAAGGAATGGAGAGATGACAGGTTCCCTTTAAATAAAGAATTTTGCTGCAGCTGTACTTTTCTTTGTCCAGTATTATTACCCAAAATGGTCTTCTACTACAGAAAATACCTCCTCACCTGCCATGGGAGTAGGTCAGCTTGTTGTTTTCTGATGGGATCTTTGCCAGGATCTGCTCTGTCACCTCCAGAAAGTTGCCCCCACACCAGGCATGTTTGGCCAAGATGGTGGTTCCTCTTGCAACAACAGAGAACAAGATCGCCATCTCTTCCCTGCTAACAGCAAAACAGACATGTTAGAGGCCGGCCTGATGAGTCTATGATCTGTATGAAGCTCCTCGTTACTCAGAATCAGCATCTACAACATCAAATGTCAATTACTCCCCGAGTGGCTGAGGCCCTGTCATCCTGGATTCCAGAAATGGAAAATGACTGGGACTGAGCCAGATACATACACCCTGCTCAGACAATGACAGAAATGTTAATGATAAATAATAATACACATGTAGGTCACATGCTGGAGTCTAATGGGCCTTCTAGGCTGCAAAAGAAAAATACACTGTCCTTGCAGCAAGTATACATGTAAGGTTACTATTAAAGTTTAAAGGATATCTAATCTAGATGTGGTGACTGTATTAGTTTTATTTTTCACCCTGGGAAATTTTTTCAGCAAGAACAGAAAATACTTGTTGGTCTTGCGAGAAAGGTTATTTTTATTTTCTGTAAACTTCTAATCCCCCCCAAATAGCAGTGGCAGACCTAAGGAACATAGGGCCCTGGTGCAAGATGGCAGAGGGTCTCAGCAGGGGCGCATGGCAGAGGGTCTCACCAGGGGCGGATGGCAGAGGGTCTCACCAGGGGCGGATGGCAGAGGGTCTCACCAGGGGCGGATGGCAGAGGGTCTCACCAGGGGCGGATGGTAGAGGGTCTCACCAGGGGCGGATGGCAGAGGGTTGGCGCTCTATACAGGTGCCGCTGTGGTGCCCCAGAATGCTGCTGAGGTACCCAGGAAGCGGGGTACTGACGTCACATTCCGGCTCCTGGCACCTCTACAGAGCGTTCAAGGGAGCTGTACAAGCAATGCACATATGGATGGAGCTCCATCACAGCACATCAGCCCACACTGGACCCCAGGCTGAGGATCCATTCCAGTTCTCATAAGGTAAGGAGACTGGGTGGACCGTAAAAGAAAAAGAAAAAAAAAATTAGAAACTTTTTTGGAGTGTGTATGTGTGTGTGAGAATGTGTGATTATGTCTAGGGTGGTGTTTGTGTCTGTCAGTGTTTTTAAGGGTTCATACACACTAGTACTGCGCGTTCTGGTGCAGTAGGTGACGCCCAAAACGCACCTCCTGCCACAATCCGATCGCCTGCACCCGTTTAGTAATGCAATGCAGTGCGACTTGGGTCGCGACTTAAAAGGAGAACTATGGGTTTAGGGCTTTTCCCCATAGTTCTCCTAAGGGTAACGGGAGGACACAAACTAGTGTCCTCCCGTCACCCAAAGCTCAGTATACCGCGAGCTACAGCTCACGGTATACTGAGACGCTGCAGCCGGAAAGGATCCCGACAATTATGTTTGGATTCACCCAGCTGCGTAAGTGACAGCTGGCTCTGCCTATCTAGAGGCAGAGCCAGCTGTACCCGCCCCCTCCCCCGTCCGTTCCGCCAGTCAGCACTGGAGGATCGGACAGGGGAGGGGGGAATCCAGTCCCTCCCCTGTCACGGCTCTCTGCTGGCATAGGATCGAGAAGTGAGCGAGCGCTGGTATGTGTTTGCTTACTTCGCTCTACTGCGACAATGAAACTGTCACAGGTCGGCTAGAACTATGAGGCGGAGTGAAAATCACTCACCTCATAGTTCTCCTTTAACCAGTTGAGGGAACTTAAACATGGGGGGGTTACTTTTTTTATTTGTGACTTTTATTTTTTACTTTTTTTGTCTATATAGATTTTTTTTTTACACTTATTGTTATTGCTATTACATAGGGGGATACCATCCCCCTAAAGGAGTGCAGGAAAAAAATGCCGTCTGGCGACGGCAACCCGCGGGTGCGAGTCTGCCGTCCGTCCGTTTTTTCTTAACGGGCGGATGGCAAGAGGTTAATGACCAAGGATAAATGTGGGTCCTGAGGTTTCACAGGTTGAGAACCACTGATTATATACATTATATATAAATCGATATATAGATATATACACTAACTGGCTAGATTATTATGACCACCTGACGTTTGTAGTCAAATTAGCTATAATTTGGCGCTGAAGTTGCTAGAGGGCCAGACCATTATAAATAGGGAAGCAGGTTGTTTACCACGACAGTAGAAGTGATTTGTTTCTGAAGAACCACTCAGTCTATAATCACACAATAAAACAAACAGAGATGTACAAATCCCAGGAGCTCCGTATGCTCCTTACAAATGAAAGCTGCCTCCTAAGTTTTGAGTTTTTCTCCAGTCTAGTCTTGGAGCTGGAAAAGTATCTGTTCATGTACTTGTACGGAGTACGGTACTTGGTATTGGTGCATCCCTACCAAATATCATACCTTCATCCCCCTTCCTTATCTAACCCTGGGCTCAAAATGACCCACAAAAAACTACACACAAACAAAACAAAAAACAAATTTCATGTAGCGGGGAGAAGATTCCCTCGCCCTGTAATAACAGAGCACGCTTGTATGCATAGCAAAGTAATAGTTCAGCAGTATAATTACACTCGTTAGTGGATTGCAGACTGTGAACAATGGCTGTCAAATGTGCTGTGAAGAATTACAGGCAAAACAGTAATTTCCTCGAGGGCCTTGGAGGATGAAGTGCGTTTTCTCCAGAAACTGGAATTTCTCAATGCCTTTTATTGCGACAGGTTAGAAGCGCACGCACCGGTCAGTAAAAGATAAATGAAAGTGTGTATTCAGTGAATATGTAATTGCAGTCATTTCATTCACATTATGGACTTCTTCACACCAGATCCAGACCAATGCGATTTTTTTAATCTGCACCAAAAATGCATATGCAGTAATTCCAATGGTTTCCAATGAGGCTAAAAAAAAAAAAAAAAAATCACACCATTGCGTTCAGTTCCTGGGCGTTTTAAAAAAGTATAGCATGCCGCATTGTTTTTGGTCTGGAATGCACCAAAAAAACATGCAAACTAGGGATGTAGCGATACTTTTCACATACCAGTTGAGATACCAGTGCCGATACTTGGCATTTTCATGAGAACTACCAGGGTTGCAGCGGTTGCAGCTGGGACCTGGATCTGGCGCTCTACCACTGTCCTGAAGGCCCCATTCACACTTGGCGATGCGCGATATCGCATTGGAAAGCATTGAATCGCGACAAAATCCGCTCCAAAAAGCGTCCTGCATTGCCATGCATTGGAGAGCGATATCGCGCGGTAAATAGCCACGATATCGCGGGAATTACCGCGCGATAAATCGCTCAGTGTGAACGGGGCCGAAATCATTAGTCTGTATTGTTTAGAAAAACTGTCACATGACCATAAACATGTATCAGTACTCGTATCTGTGAGGACTTATGCAAGTATCAGTACTTGTAAAAATGGTACAGGAGCTCCGTGTGCTGCTTACAAATGACAGCTGCCTCCCAACTTTTTACATTTTCTCTAGTCTTGGAGCTGGAAAAGTATCTGTACTTGGACCGAGTACGGTACTTGGTATAGGTGCATCCCTAATGCAAACGCATGTAAATGCACCAGAATGTGCTTATAATGCAAGCAAAACCAACTGAGGAAACAAATGCACTGGAATGCATCAAAAATGCGTATACAAACGTTTGCAGAAATGCACCCAGGTCTGGTCTGGACATGGTGTAAGCAAACCCCAACGCTGAGGGCTAGTTCACACCAGAGCTACATCACAACTTTGTGCGTCTGTGTAGCTGCAGTTTGCTGTGTTTTTACCGTGATTTTTAACTTGAAGCTTAAAAGCTTTTGCCTTTCATATCACTTTAGACCAAGAACAGTGGCGGTGGTGTGATTTGCAATGAGCTGATCAAAAATCACACAAAAAAACAAGTCAATGTGAACAATTCCCTGTGTGAACAAGTCCCCCCCGTTCCACCCACCCCTCCCCACACACACACCTGATCTAGATGATTGCTCTGAGTCCCACAGCGCTGTCCGTGGTCTTAGCAGCGACGTCACATTGTGTACAGTAGTCACGGGATCAACCTGTTCTACAGGAATAGAAGATCAGAAGCCACATTCTTCTGTCCCAGCCGTCTTGTGACTGCGCAGCTCTCCTCTACCCTGCTGGGCATTCATCAGTCTAGGTGGATGCCGAGATCCCCTCTGACAATCTGATTTGGACGCACGCACCATCCACACAGCAGACAAACGTTTCAGCAGATGTCAGAAGTAGTGATGAGGCAATCGCTGCGTTTTGTTTACCAACATGAGGAGATTGTGAAACACGACACGGCCTGACCACGTGAACCCAGACAACATTTATATTGTGTTGTCCTTCTGATCCAGGGCTGTAGCTACCATGGGGCGAGTGAGGCCCTCGTCTCAATTGCAGCTGAAAGGGGGCGCAGCCAGGGCCGACCTGGCTGCGCCCCCTCACCCCTGTTGTCATGGCGAGCACAGGGCGCCAGTGGCAACAGGGGCGGGAAGAGGACTCTGTGTCCTCAATCTCTTTTTCTATTTCAAAAAGGGAAATGTCAGGGGTGATATTTCGCCGAAGCCCCAAAAGTAAAATAAATAAATAATAAAAACTAAATACACACACACACACACACACACACACACACAACTAGATAAGTGCAAAGACTAAAAATTAGTTTCAGACAAAATGAACGGAAACTAAAAATGTTTTCATTAGATTCGTCAAACAAAATACATGTTTAGGCCGTTTGGATTTTGCCACCAGCGCATTCTGCGCATGCGCGCCACCATCCTAGAGGCAGGGCGCATGATGTCACATACCGCACAGGTCTGTTGGGGGACACAATTTTCTGTTCTTGCCTCGGGCGCAAAATGAGCCAGCTACGGCTCTGTTCTGATCAATTTCTCTTCCTTGTAATTGCACATCAGTGATGGCTGCCCGCGAGGTCATCTTTACAGAGCACCTTGATTTAAAGCTGAACTCGGAGACAAGCAAATATCACCCTCATACAAGAGTCCTGTGTATTCTTACTTGAATCTTGCTGAGCTTTGTGTATTTCTTCCAGATCTGTGCAGTAATCCAGTGTGAAACTTGGAGCTTCCTGTAATAAAGACCGGTCACTGCTGCTCACTCTCCTTGTGCAGGGTGACCGCT